AACTCCAGCAGCCAGAGAGCGGATCTACAATGTCTCAGTGAACGGCAGCCCTCTGGCCGACAGCAAAGAGGTTTTCCTCACTGTGCCCGTGGGAGGCGGAGAGGTGAGTGCTTCAGTCTGAGGGATGCCTGGCCCCCGTGTGTGTCTGAGGCAGCATTTCTTTCCCTGGTCTGTCACCCACTTCCCTCCCCGGAGGCCTTTTAGTTGCATGGATCCTGATCTCCACATTTGTCTAAGACTCAGAACCCAGTTTCCTCTCCCAGACTGGGAAGATCCTTGCCCAGCTCGGGTTCCATTTGTTCAACGAACATTTGGGCACCCGTATGTAGCAGACCAAGAAGACCTTCCTGCCCTGGAGAAGCAGTTCAGTAGTTGTACAGGTTAACAGTTAGGACACTGTCTCCATGCGATGTGTGCAGTAATGGAGATACAGTGCGTCGTCTAGGAAGGGGAGCACAAGCTGTCGCTTCCCCTGTGTACCTCCCAGGGGTTCTGAGGCAGGTTGAGCCCAGCTTCTCCGGGCTGAGTGGAGCAAGTTGTTGCCTCACCTCCTGGAAGGAAGGGTGTTTGATCTCAGGTGTGGTCTGCCGGGCATTGCTAAGCTGATGGGGATGTCCTGGTACCCAGGTGATCCCGGCCCAGTGATGAGCACTGACGTCACTGTATCCTTAGGGACAACAGTGACAGCCTGTGTTCTGCCTACCTTGCCTCCCCCCTCCCCCCACCCCCTAAGGACAGGACACAAAGGGGGCACGCTGGGCTGCTGGATGGAGGTTCCCGCCCTGAAGGACATGCAGTTTAACCCACTCTCCCCTCCACAGAGCATGCGGTTATTGGCCAGTGACTTGAGGAGGGTCGATATTGCACAGCTGGATCCAGAGGCCTTGGGGAACATTAAGCAGCTGTCCGTAAGTCTCACGCTTGTCTCCACACCTGAGCTTCCTCCGGAGCTTCCTTGGTTTGTCTTTCAGGTCCAGGCTCACTCTTTGTACTTTCAGCCTCTTTCCCCAGTGGATTTTGACTGATGTCATACTTACCTGGTAGCAATTCTGTCCCTAAATTGAGGTTGCGTTTAGGTCCATCCAGAGTGCCTGCCACAGAAGTTCCTTAACAGAATCAAAATCCTGCCTCATTCAGGCAGTTGGTGCCTATATGTTAGGGCACAGTTGACCTCCAGGAACTCAGACTTCCTCACAGCAGTTCAGGAATGGGCGGTGGGGGTGGGGGAATCTTATTACAAAGGATCCACAGAATCAAGGCAAGCGCTGAACAGCCAGGCCTCGGAGTGATGGGACCATCAGCAATAGGGGGTTACGGAGCTCCACTCTGGTGCGCCAGCTCCTTCAGCTCCTCTGTCTCTGGGGCCCCACACACATCTTCCTTCCTCTCCCTGCTCACCCCTCTCCCCCCACCCAAGGCTCTTGGTTCTGTCCTCCCTCTATGTTGGTTTGTAGGTGATCTTGGTTAGCCACACTTTCAACTCTAACTATTGCTTCATTTTCCAACACTAGTCTTCGTAAATGCTCAGGAGGAAGAAGTTAATTGGCTTAGTTTTGGTCACATGGTCACATGGGCCTCCCTGGTCCAGTCAGCATGGTTTTGGCTGGTGGGTGGGAGCACTTAGTGCAAACATGGCTGCCATAGCCCCACCTCTCTGGGGCTCTTGTGAAGGGGATACCCAAGGAAGGGGACAAGGAGGGCTGCTTTCCCAAACGTCCTATTGCACATAGGCCCAGTGCTGAGATCACACAGCCAGCCACCCAAACCTGGTGCATTCATCCTCTAGCTGGATCTACAGCAGAACTCTTCCCACATTATACTTTCACTGTCTCCGGTGAGAAGTTATTTTGCTCCTTTGTTCAGATGAGAAACAGAGAATCAGGAAGGTGAATTCGTTTGTGAAACAGACAGACTGGAGGGCTGAAATTCCCTCAGAGCTGCCTCAGACACGTGCAGTGCTGCCTGAGCGGCTCCCTGGACAAGCATGCCCAGTGCCACCCTCTCTAACAGCCCGTCTCCTTTTCTTTATAGAGCCGTCTTGCCCAAATCTGCAGCAGCATACGGACTCACAAATGAGGCTGCTATTCTAAGAAGCCAAACTTGACAAGATGGGTCTTCAGTGGGCATTTCCGGGACCTTCTTCCCTTCAAGCTTATTGTCTGTTTGAGTGTGATGTTCCAGAGCAGGAAGTGGTGTTCTCTTGGAGAATTTGGGACGTGGGAGGATGCTGTTCCCTCATCTGTTAGACAGTTTTACTATTCACACCTTCCAAAGACACTGCCCACTGCATCCGTGCGATCAAACCTTCCTGTCCTTCTCCCTGCTGAATTCTTCCTGCTCTCAGAGCTACCGTTTTCTGCCTCCTGGGACTCGGTGTCCTCTTTGCCATGTCCTGACTCCAGTTGTGGAGGCATGGAAGGACTTCGTGTTCTTGGGCAGACTGCCTACTCACCCTCGCCTGAGAACCCTGTGCATCTGTCGTTTCTACTCTGTATGCTTGAGGCTGGGAATTTGGGGCTCAGAGAAGTGAGTTCTGGGCCATGAGAGAACAGACCCAGAATGCTGGAACTACAAATGGGGTTAGGACAGTGAGTCAGGACCTGTCTCAGCAGTGACCACAGAGAACACCCTTCCCCTCCCAACCCCATCCCTTCCTTCTGTGGAATCTCACATCTGCTGTGCCAGTGGTTTTCAGGCTAACTTGTGGAATGGTGTTTTGTATTTATCTCGACCGAAGACCAAAAATTGGTGTGAAGGCAGTTTCCATGTCTTCCTCCTCTACCTCTCCAGCTCGTGGGGATTTGGATAAGGGAATCGGAGGCTGAGATTAGTCTGGGATTTTTTGTGACTGGCACAGGGGAGCTTTCTAAGCTCTCTGTGGCCCTGCAGGTCTGCCGACTGCAGCGAGCACCTCTCTCTGACTAGCTTCATTGATGGAGCAGGCGTAACTGGCCTGGTCATCTCATTCCACTTTGGCCTGTGCCCTGGGCATGGACTAGTTCCTTAGCACTGAAATTCCTGTGTGCCAGCCAGTGCCTCTGCCCCAAAGAATCACGGGATGTGGTCCAAGAATATGGGAACAGTTCCCATCCCAGGTTTGGGGGCCACCGTTTTCTCATGTGTGTCTCTTTGCTATACTTTGTATTATTTTGCGACATGACCATCCTAGTAACCCAGTCCTGTTTAAGTTGTATTCAATTTGAGTTGTTTTATGCTCCCTTTCCTGAGACTTTGTACATATTGTTTCCCTGAGTAATGGAATCTCTGATTTCTTCTAAGAGCTCCTGAGAGGTACCTGTTTTCAATAAACTGTGTTTGTTATTAATATGCACCTGCCTGTCATTTACAAGCCGTGCTCCCCAGACTGGGGGCAGGTTTGAAGCTGCAGCTGTCAGGGTAGAGCCTTCGAACAGGTGTGAAAACCTTCAGTCCAGGCAGGAACTCGGATACCTGAAGAGGAGCCCTCACCCCAAGATCCAGGAATGGGGAACCTGCCCCAAGACGATTTTCTCCAACACGCTCATTCCATGACTAGAAATGTACACTGGGGAGGATAAACTGTCTGTGGTGTGTTTGCCTGTGTAGTCCCGTTGGCCAGGACAAGAAGGGTGCTTGCAGGTAATCAGTTCAGTGGGCACCTTACTTCCCAGAGTTCTTTACATGGAAAACGATCAGCATGGAACTAAATCTGGGTCATTGCTTAGCTCAGTCATCTGACATGGATAGTTCATGGTGAAGGACCCTTCGGTCAGTGACAGCACATGGAATAATGGTTACTTCTTTCAAGTAATCCTGACCCCAGAGATTTCTACCATTCCCATCATTCTCTGGTACAGTGTTAGGAAGAGCTCGATGTCAAGGAAACAGGATCCAACATGCTTGACTGACCCAGAGCCAGGCTCACCTGCTTTCACTCTGCGGGCACCACTGCCCAAATGAACCCAAGTGTGTAGTATGAACAGGTGCCTAATAAATGCGTCACATGATGCAATCTGAACAGTCCATTCCACATAAAGGGATGACTTGGAAAGTAATGTGTTTTCCATCCCAGGATTTAAAGCATGGCCTGAATCATCAAAGGGCTGGAATGCTGCAAAGAAAATTTAAGACTTACTAGCGGGCCTGACCGATGTGGCCCAGTGGTTGAGTGTGAATCTATGAATCAGGAGATCACTGTCAGTTTCCAGTTGGTTGGGGCACATGCCCAGGTTACGGACTTGATCCCCAGTGGGGGGGGCATGCAGGAGGCAGCCAATCAATAATTCTTATCATTGATATTTCTCTCCCTCTCTGAAATTAATTATACATATATATGTATATATTTGAGCCAAAGAAAGAGCGAAAACAGCCCACAGACATGTTCAGTTTTTTATTTTTGTTTTTAACTTTATTGATTTTACACAGAGAGAAATTGAAAGGGATAGAGAGTTAGAAATGTCGATGAGAGAAACATCGACCAGCTGCCTCTTGCACACCCCCCACTGGGGATGTGCCCGCAACCAAGGTACATGCCCTTGACCGGAATCGAACTCGGGACCTTTCAGTCTGCAGGCCAACGCTCTATCCACCGAGCCAAACCGGTTTCGGCTGTTCACTGTTTTTTAAAATTATAACAATTTAAAAATTGCCAAAGTTCACAAAAGTGATTGCTAGCTTCAAAAAATAAGATCTGGCAACACGGGCCAGTCAACCGAGTCCTCTTCCCACTGAAAGCATTTCCCGCTCTGACTTTCCTTTGTTACTGCCTTGTACCTCTGGGCAATTTACCTTGTACCCTAAGCAGAGCTGCTTTGGGTTGGAGGGAAGATTGGCCTGGAGTCCCCTTCCCTGGGCCCCTGAGGCTGTTTCAGAGAACTCTAGGATTTCAGTAAAGTTTCATTCTTCGCCCTGCAAGCCCCCTGGTCTCTCCAAAGCCCTCCTTGGGGCTTCCTATTGAAAGAATTCCAGATGTAGTGCCTCACCAAGAGTTAGGTTAAATTATTCATAGAAAGAGCTTGAGGTGTGTGATAGGACATCACCCAGGCATCGTTTATTCACAGCATCAGACAGCTTTTAGCTCAAAGGATCTACTATCCCCCGCTCTGCCAAAGAAATGACTTCGCATGCCAACAGAGAGCTTATCACGCTGTGTCCTACACTTGTCTCAATGTCCACATGTGCACAAGCCCTGACAAATGTTGTCCTCCTCTAATTTTACACCAGTCCCTAAAATTCAGTGTGACACACACATGCTGAAGATTTAATAATAGACAATTCAGACATGGAAGGAGAAACAATGAAAGGTCAATCAGAACTGGGGATACACTGAGCTCCCACTGGAACTGGAAGCAGTTCGCTTTGGCTAAGGTGCCTTCTTGTTGCCCTTCACAGGTTTAGGCATTTTCCAGTCCCCTTTCCTAGTCCAGTCCCCCTGCCTCACCCGGCCTGCAGAACAAGCCTTCTCTCCCCCACTCCCTCCCACCAGCTGTAACCCACCCTTCTTGCCTCCTACACTTCACGATCGTCTTTCCTTAATTGATATTAGCATCCATGCCATTGGTGTTTTCTGACCCTCAGATGATGAATATGATGGAAGACATAACATACCCTTGGTACCAAGACACCGGCAAGAGCCCAGCATCCCATCAGCCAATGGGCAGTGCCCACAAGCACATGCTCTGTCACAACATGCTGAGAGCCTATGGGATGGCCACAGGTGACAGTCTCCAAGGAGACACCCCTTCGAATCTGATGCAAAGATCATGCTGGCAAAGCTCCGGGGGCCCTGATCACAGTGTCTTGTCACCTCCTAAGAATGTCCCCCACTAGACAGGGGTCTCTCATGAAAGGGACCCTCTAACTTGTTTCCATGCAGAGCGATCTCAGACGCACACTGTGGAGAGCCCACGAGGGAGAGGGAGGAGGGTCTCAAACTACTTAATGGCAAAACAACTGTCACTGAAAGAGACACCATATCACAAGTTTTTATTACTTTGTCCTCCATACAGAACCCCAAATTATAAAAACTTTTCTAGCACTAATCAAAGAAACCATCTCCCCAACCGGACCCTTCCCTCCCTGGGTGGGCTCAGACGGGGGAACTGGGGGGTTGCAGGCCACCTCCCTCTGTCCAGTGAATGAGTTCCATATAAAAATAGATCTGTAGGGGGTTCCTATAGAGCCATCAGCTTGCATTACACCAGCACCCGTTCAGGGCTGAGGCCTGGGACCCCTTAGGATTCTGGGACCTCACTCCAGTGGAGGGAGATCTACCCTGGACACCGAAGTCCTGCCCACAGGGGCCACTCTGCAGAACAGCTGCTGGGGGGTGGGGGGTGGCCTTTAGACCTCGAAGGAGGGAGCTGGAGCTGGAGATGACGCTCCCTCCACACAAGACTGGACGCCGGTTCCCACACCATGTCTTCTCCAAGCTTCCTGGGGGCAGGGGCTGGGGGTGCCGAGCCTGAAGGGCACCTGGCACGAGACCCTCCAGCCCTGTCCAAGATGGAAGCAATGTCTTGGTCTCCCCTAGTACCCCCGAGTCTCCGAGCTGGGGCAGGCGCCCAGTAAACAGAAAGCAGGTTGAGGGGGTGGGGTGGGGACCTAAGGAGAAAAGAGCTGGCAGGGCCAGGCCAAAGGCACTGCTGTGAGGCACCATCCCCACCACGGGTGCTCCCCCAAAGTGCACAGCGTCTCCCAGCCCCCAGGCTCCTTCTCAGCTCCCCTTCTGCCTGGGCTCCTCCTTTCCTAGGGCCTCCATCTTCACCCACTAAGGAATGGCCCTCCCCCAACCTCCAAGTCAGCCTCTCAGCCACGAACCCCTCCAGACATCCCACCACACACACAATCAAGAGCGTCCAGCTGCCCCTCCAGCCCCCTGGCCAGCCCAAAGGTCTCCCCCGGGGCTCCGGGGCACTGTAGGAAGGCACCCTTGGGGTGCTTCTTGGTGCCTGAGCTCATCTCCCCACCTGGCCTAAGCCCTCCAAGGGCCGGCTCTGTGTCTCATTCTCTCTGCTCCTTCCCATCCCACCCCATCCCACCCACCCCACACACAGCCAAACTCAGAGATGCCCAACAGGAGTAACCTGAAAGACAGCCCGTGGCCTATCCAGCCCCAGCCGCCTTCCTGACGGACGACAGCCTGGCCTCGTGGTCACCACCACTTAGGGAGCCCCTCTGGACAAGGAACCTGGAGCCAGCCTAGGGCACCCGCTTTGGTCAGAGGCCTGCAGACCCCCAGGGAGGAGGCGCCTTGCTCTGTGGGGGGCTGGGTGGTGGCCAGGGGATGGAGCTCCCCATAGGGGCTCACCGCAGAGTACCCCTGGCTGCCACAGGGCAGGACCAAGGTCTCTCTCCAGAGCCAGCCTCACCCCTGCACAGGGCCCTGTGCCACCTCGTTGTAACCCAGGCCCGGCCCTGACTCCTCCCTGGGCCTCAGTTTCCCCATCTGAACAGTGAGGGGTGGCCCAGCCTGTCAGAGAGAAAGGTCCATCTCTGAGAGTCTCTTCTTCACCACCCCCACGGCTGGACACAAAGCCCGGGGTCCCCCTGGAGAGAACACACCTCCGCTCCTGCTCATCCCAGGGGTCCCGGCCACTGAGGTTATAAAAGGAATGCAAAGCTCAAAGAGAGGCTCACGGGGCCTCGGGGAGCACCAGGACCTCGAGGGGCCCACCCAGGACCCTTCCCCTCCCCCTGAACTGTCCCAGCCCCAAAGCAAGGGAAGCAGAAACCAGCTCAAAGCCCAGGGCCTCGGGGTCCAGCCCTGAGCTCAGCACCTCCTCCGCGGCCTGCGCCTCAAGAACCAACGTCCAGCCAGGGCAGAGCCAGGGCACAAGGAGCTGAGGACCCTGCCCTCCAGGGCCCATGAGGACGGGCTTCCGGGCAGCTTGGTCACTCAGGCCTCAGGAGAGCCCAGCAGGGACCCAGGCTGCCTGCTGGCCATGGGCCTGTGGGATACGGGGGGGTCCCAGCCTCCCACGGATGTGGGAGACAGGAAGGCATGAGCCCGGTGATTTCAAACTCTGTCCTCCCTCCCTGCCCAGCCCCACCTCAGCATCTGGAACCCTGCGCTTCCTCCCTCTTCTCTCCAGGGTCTTCTCCACGGATGTGACCCTTTCCCCAGGGAGACCGAGTCAGCCAAGGCGCTCAGACTGAGGAAGATGGGGCGAGGGCTCACTTCTGCGCGGTGGAGCGCAGCTTGCCAGGGTGCTGTCCAGGTGGGGGTTCGCAGCCCACCGCGGTCCCGGCCTGGAAGGGCGGGGGCTGCTCACACCTGCACCCCCCGGCCCTGCAGCTGGAGCACTCGTGCCCGCAGGGCGCTGACCCCGCTGAGGAGGGCCTCCCGGTGTTCCACCGACGAGATGCCCAAGCTCACCAGGTCCCTGCGAAGAACAACGGGTCAGACCCAGCCGCTCAAGCCCCTCCCTCTGTCTGGACAGGGAACAGCCAGGATGGGGACCCGCTGGGCCTCCCGTAGAGGCGGGGGCAGGGCCCTGGGTTCCGCCCACTCACTGCGCAGTCATGGTGGCCACGGCCTCCAGGCTCCCGTAGCCAGCTGCCGTGAAGCTGTCCTTGTAGCGGCCCAGGTCCAGGGCCTCCAGCCAGGCGCCCACGGAGCCAAAGGAGGGGAAGGTGGAGAAGGCACGGTCCGCCAGGGGAGTGGGTGGCCTGGGGGGCAGAGGGGAGGGGGGGTGGTCAGTCATCAGCAGGATCTGGTGCCCAGCCCGCTCGCTGTCCTGCGGTCAGGCCAGCTGTGCTAGGACAGACGGGGAGGCCTGGGCCCAGGGCAGACCTGGCTCACACCGCATGCCATGCATTCTCAGATCAGGTGAGTGTTTCACACTCAGGTGGGTGGGTGTGGGTTGCACCTGAGCCAGCCAAAGGTCCTGAGAGTATCTGGAACAGCCTGGGGGGAGGACACACCTAGGACAGTTGTGAAGGCATCTCATATTTGGGACAACTTGTACTGTTTTCACTTATTTTATTTACTGAAATTACAAGTCAGTTAGGACTATTACCACATACACTGAGTGGCCAGATTATGATCTCTGAATGCATAATAATCTGGCCACTTTGTGGCCACACACACACATTAGAGGCCCAGTGCATGAATTCATGCATGGGTGGGGTCCGGCCAGCCTGGCCAGGGGGAGGGGACATGGGCAGTTGGCCGGCCTGCCTGCTGGTCAAACTCCTGATTGAGGGGACAATTTGCATATTAGTCTTTTATTATATAGGGCAGTGGTCGGCAAACTGTGGCTCACGAGCCACATGCGGCTCTTTGGCCCCTTGAGTGTGGTTCTTACACAAAATACCACGTGTGGGCGTGCACATCCAGTGCGATTGAAACTTCGTGGCCCATGCGAAGAAGTCGGTTTCCAGCTCTCAAAAGAAATTTCAATCACTGTACTGTTGATATTTGGCTCTGTTGACTAATGAGTTTGCCGACCACTGATAAGAGGATATACACTGAGTGGCCAGATTATTATGAGTTCAGAGATCGTAGTGATCTGGCCACTCAGTGTATTTATCCAATGGCCACTGTCTCTGGGATACGTGAGCACAACCCAGGACAAGTAAAAGTGACTAGGATGGACGAAGGTTGCACGTGCCTCAGGCACCTGGAATAGCAGATTTATCTGGGACAGCCGGGTGAGCAGTCCTACCTAACAGGTGGGGTAGGAGAGATGGGGCTGCTGTACGAGGGGCACGTGGGAGGCCATTCACGGGCAGGTGAGAGGTCGCGAAGTCTGCTCTGGTCGGGGATGGGGGGTGGGTGGGAATGTACCTGGGACAGGGGGCCGGAGCACACTTCGGGGGCTCTGGGTCCTGCACCATCTTGCTCAGGATGCTGTGGATCTGGGAGAACCTGGGCCGCTCACCCGGGTCCTTCTGCCAGCAGTCCAGCATCAGCCGGTGCAGGGGGGAAGGGCAGTTCCTGGGGGGCGGCAGCCGGAAGCCATCCTCCACGGCCTTGATTACCTGGGCCACCGGGTAGGGGTGCAGAGGGAGGCTTTAGATCCCCCCTAACACACACACACACACACACACACACACACACGAGGAAGACTGGGGTGGTCAGGCCAGGCAGGACTAGAAGCAAAGAAACAGTGAAGAGGAACCGGGGAACTGAGGTCAAAGGGCACGAGGATCAGAAGGCAAGGCGCTGGAGCCGAGCTCACTCACGTCCTGGCTGGACATGTCCCAGTAGGGCCGCTCCCCAAACGCCATCACCTCCCACATGACCACGCCGAAGCTCCACACGTCGCTGGCAGAGCTGAAGTGGCCGAACTGCAGCGTCTCGGGGGCGGCCCACAGCGCCGGGCTCCGGCCACTCTGCGGGCGGGCGGGCGGGTCAGGGGCGGGGAGGGACACCCAGGCTCCCCACACCACAGGGCCCAGGTCCAGCCCCACCTGCCATCCCCCTAGCTGCACATCTGGGGAAAGCACACCGCTGACCACAAGGCGATGTCCACACTGACATGTATCCAGGACCGACTGCCGAGGGGCGGGGTGGGGGGAGTTAGCGGGACCCAGCAGGGGAGGGGGCAGCGGGGAGCTGGGGCCTCTGGGGCAGTTTGGTGGAAACAGGAGCAGACGTGCCTCGGGGAAACAGCTCCTCACCATGGTGGTGTAGACGGCCTCCGCTCGGTCCCGAGGCCCCCGCCCGAAGCCGGAAACCTTGCAGACGAGGCCACTGCTGACCAGCACGCGGCGGGCGGCCAGGCCCCGGTGAACGTAACCCATCTCCGACAGGTACTTCATGGCCGACGCCAGCCCGGGCAGCAGCAACAGCAGCTGCCCGGCCACCATCTGGCCCTCGTGCCGCTGGGGAGGAAGGAGAGGGAGGCCGGGTGCTGTGCGGCCCCGGGAAAGGTGCGGAGCGGCCCTCCCTGTGCTTCCGTCTGCCCCGTCACCCTCCAGGTCGGCCTGGCCAGCGGGTGCCTTTCCAGGGAACGAGGCCGCTCCGAGTCCCAACAAAGAGAACATAACGGGGTCATGTCTCCCCGGGGCCCGCGGCACTCACCCTGAGGAAGCTGTCCAGGGCCCCGTGGCTCATGTACTCGGTGACGATCATCAGGGTGCTCCCTGTGCCCGGGGACGTGGACACATAGGCTGAGACGGCGCTCCCTCTGGACACAGGCCCCCCTATCTGAGCCCCGACCTGGGCCACACTCCCCTCATCTTGCCACCCTCCTTCAGGACCCACGGTCCCCTATGCTGAGGGACAAGAGGAGGCGTCTACAGGGGAACAGAGGTCAAGAGCCACAAGTGTGCTAAGAAAAATCCCCCAAGGCTGCTTGGACCTTGGTGGTATAGACGGCCTCAGCCCACCCCACAGGGTGTCACCACCAGTCAGAAAGGTCATTTGGGGACAGCTTTGCGGTGAAGCAAAGCTGAGACCTTCCCCCATGCTGGGCGTTTCAGGGGCTCCCTCGCGGTTTAGGGAGGGGCTCTGGGGGACAGGAGCACCCCACCTCCCGCCTCGTCATCCCCACCTCCATCCCTGTGGAGCACCGGCCCTACCTCGGGTGACGACGCCCTCCAGCCGCACAACGTGGCTGTGGTCAAACTGGCCCAGGGTGAGGGCCTCGGCCAGGAAGCTGAGCCTCTGGGAGTCGGAGCAGCCTTCCCGCAGCGTGTGCACGGCCACGGGGAGACCCTGGCGGCCAGGGAGCTGCAGGCAGCCGCAGCACAGCTCCCCAAACCGCCCTGTGGGGAAGCAGCGCCTCAGACACCGCCAGAGGCCACTCCCTTGGCCAACCCCGGGCAGGGTGAGCCGAGGAGAGAGCAACTTCTGGATCATGAGCGGCTTCCAGTCTGGGACTCGGAGCTCTCGGGTTCAAATCATGCTGAATTGAGTACCAGCGGAGCGACTGGTTCCATCTCTCTCTCCTCCTCCTGCCTGGTGGCCGTGTGCAAGGGGACTTCTCCCTGCCTGCCTGCCTCAAAGAGAGGGCTCCTTCAGCCCATGTGACCCAGGATGGCGACAGCACCCATTCTGCCACACTGCCGCTGTCTGGCTTCCGCCCAGTGAGTCTGGCAACCACATCAGGGCTTGGCTTCTGGCTCCTGGTGAACGTGGCTGCCTTCCCCAGCACAGGCCACGGGTGTGCAGACAGGAAGAGTCAGGAGGCTGACCATTAGGGGGCGAGCACCTACCATGAGCCAGGCCTTGGGCTGAGCCTGTGAAGTCCCGTATGAGCTCAGTCTGAGGCAGCTGTCATGCCCATTTTACAGAGGAGACTCAGGCTCAGAGCAGAAGAAGGATGTGCCCCTGATCACACAGCCGGTTAGTGACAGAGTGGGGACTAAAGCTCAGGTATGTCTGGTCCCCAAGCTTGCAAAGGACCCCCTCACTGCCCCATGAAGACCTGGGACTGAACGCCTGCCCATCTGCCCATGGCAGTCTGAACAGGCCAGCTCTGAAAGGGCCTGGGGGCGGAGTCAGGCTGAGAGAATCAAAGCGGGTGGAGGGTGGAGGGTGCTCGGACTTCTATGGAGGGTGGGGCTAGGGCAGGGGTGGGGCTCCCCAGGAACAGGGCTTCCTGGGTGCCCAGCTTGCCTGCTCCAAGGCTCCTCTCCACGATGACACTTTTCGCATCCAGCTCCTTGGCAAACAGGTGAAGGGCCTGCAGGGGGTCCCCACAGCTCTGCGGGTCCATGAACGTGCGGCGAGTCGGCACTTTGACTGGGAACACGGACAGAGAGAGAGGGTCCTGAGGAGGGGCCGCCGAGGCTAGAGGGTGGGGTGTGCAGTAGACGCAGGAAGAGGGGTGAGGAGTGAGGTAGGGGGCGCCCGCCCCGCCCCACACCAGGCCCAGGCAACTCACAGTGGAAATACAGCTCCTCCTCGTCGTGGGCGTCCTGACCTCCTTTGCCATAGCTGCAGGGCCTGGGGGCGCAGAGTCATTCCTTGAGCCAGGCTCCCCATTTGGGGGAGGGGGGCACCTCTTTGTCCCTTCAAAAGGACAAGGTCTGTGCCCCAGGGGAGGGACCTTCTTATTCAGCTGGTTTGAAAGCTCCTCCCCAGAGCACTCAGGTAACCCTAGCGTTAGACCTAACTCTACCCCCATCAGCATTCCTAGTTATTGGCACTCTGAGTCACACGCATATTCTTGCCACTCCGAGGCACCCAAATCTATACACACACACACACACACACACACACACACACACACACCGACTTTCAGTTCAAGCTGCCCCCCTGGTACAGGGGAGCAGAACAAACAGGCCTTGCACAGAGGGCAGCTTCCGGTGTAGTCAGGAAAACCAACACTGAGGGTTCACCACAGCGGCTCACAGGGCCCAGCAGAGGAGAGGGCTGTGCGCAGTGGATGGGAACGACCCCTTCCTGGCCATCAGGGCGGCTGCCTGAGACAGGCCGCTGGGGACCAGAGGACCACGTCACAGGCTGGCATGTGGGAGCCCCCTGAGGCCGGGCCTTGCTGGCCCAGATAAAGACTTTGACTTTTATTCCGGATTGGAGGAGAGCCCCTAGGGGATGCTGAGAAGGGAGTGCTGAGATGCCATTTGCATTTTAGAAAGATCATCCTAGCTGCTGCTGCTGCTGTCCCTGCTGGCAATGGCGGTGGCTCAGACTCCGGGGTGAGAAAAGCGAGAGGACTCAAGAGGCATGCGGGTGACGGGGAGGCAGGAAGGGAGAGGAAGAAGGCTTGCCCAGCAGAGCCCATGGTGCTGCCATTTACCAGGAAGGGAGGATGGAAGTTCATGTGGAGACATTTGAGTTCGCAGGGCCTCTGGGATGGGCAGGGAGGATCGGGGAGGGGGGGGGGGCGGGGGGAGTTAGTATGTGTATGTCTGTGTCTGGAGTTTGGAACACAAGTTCAGGACTAGGAACAAGTCAGAGGACCCCCTACACTTTGACTTTGGGTAGGGGAGAAGGAAGCCACGGAGATCACAACGGAACCGCCAGAGAAGTGGGAGGGAAACTGGAGTGGTGATGTCACAGGAACCAAGGAAAGGAAAGCAGCAGAGAGAGGGGTCAGTCTCGGAGGGCTGGAGGAGAGGGATTAGGGGAGGCTGGAGAGAGACGGTCATGGTTCCATACCAACGGGGGAGGGGAGAAAGGCTGTCTGTCACAGAGGAAGAGGTGGTCACCGGGCGGTTAACAGCGTGGGCTCTGGGACCTCACTGCACGGACTGGCTTCCCAGCTCCTCCGCTGAGCGGCTCTGTTTTCTCTTTAATAAAATCAGGAAATAATCAACCAAAGACCTTGTATGCATATGTGCATAACCCATGGACACAGACAATAGGTTGGTGAAGGTCTGGGGTGGGGGGGCGAGGCGGGCTGGAGCCAATGGAGGAGGAAAGGGAACGTATGCAATGGTTTCAACAATAAAGATTTAAAAAAGAAAAGGCGGCCCCACCTGATAGCATAAGGAGCTTACTAAGCGCAGTGAACATTCACTGTCCCGTGGGGGAGAGAGGGACATTTAAACAGTACGGGTTCCTGAGATGTGAGAGGGAGCGGGCTCCGGTTCTAGGCAGGAAGACTGATCCTAGGAGGAAGGTACCTCCTCTAGAGCGAAAGGAGGGAGGGAAGGACCTGAGAGAGGCAGGAGTGTCGACCTGGTGGTGAGAAGATGAGGGGCTAACGATATAATTGAAGAGAGTGGGGGGGGAGGGGGTGTAGGTGGGGCAGCAAAGGGGGCTGAGGGAGCAAGCTGCAGGGACAGGGAGCCTGAAGGACCAAAGCAGAAATGGACCAGTATCCCAGTATCCCGAGTGATGTTCTTGTCAGGATAAAGGGGAGGGTTGGGGAGAGGGAGGGGGAGGAGGAACAGAAGAGAAGGTCCTTGGGAACCAGGAAGTCAAAGAAGGAAGAGGTGGGGGGCTGGGACTGGCCATGCAATGGCTACACAAGTCACTCAGCATGGAGACAGGACTTCCAGGAGTGAGGGGACATCCAAGAGAGAGGGTTGAGATGAAGGGAAGGGACAAGGTAAGTGGGTGGTGCAGTGGGAGAGGAAATGAGAAGCTTCCACTGGAAGACGCAAGTGGATGAGCCAGAATAGAAGGAGGAGGGGAAGAGGTGAGACCACTGCCCAGGGGATGGGCTGCAGAGGTCTGGAGTGTGCCCCGCGCCCATCGGCACTAGTCCGGCTGGTTCTCCCCGCTTCACTGTCGTTTGATTTTGAGCAGGTTATGAAATCCACCCCCTGGCTTGCTCTGCCTGCTCAGGACACCTGTCTCTGAGTCCTCCTGTGCAGTGGCTCCTGCAAAGTCCTCCCAGGGAGGTGCTCCTCGTTCACCTCTCTCCCCTTTCCTTTCTGCCTCCCTGAGCCCCTACACTCACAGGCAGAACACAGTGCTCTTGGCTCCTGTCCACAGCTGCTTTCCAATAGGTCCAACATATGAACTTGGAGGCTCCATGAGGAAGAAGCTCGCTACTCTGGAGACCCACAGGACAAGGTCCTCTCCCCCTCAGTCATACTCTGTCATGCCCAATGGATGCTCACTGTCCCTCCAGCCTCGGGCAATTCGTTCTGAGATGCGTGGAGATGTGGCTCTCCGGCCAGCCCATTTCTCTCCTCTGCTCCCCCAGCTGCAGCCCTTTGAGTGCAGACTCTCAACCCCACAAGTGTGCTGAGCTCAGCTCCTCCCCTCTCCACCCTACCCCACACGGACCTGCCTGGGGAACATGTGCCATGAGGTTTCTGCTCCAGGCAAAAGGCCTGGAATCTTCTCTGAGCTAGATTCCAGAGCCATCTTCCCCTCCTCCCAGCCCCCTTCCCTGCCCTCTCTCCTGCAAGCCTCTTCTGCTGGGGGCTGGGGGTTTCTGGTTTCTCAGTTCCCCTCCCTGTCCTCCCTCCCACACACAGACACACAACACAATTTATGCTTTTCTTCCCTTTGCCTGTGTTCAAGGGCCTCAGGACCCCTTGGGGCAGCAGCTGGGGGCCTCGGAGCGCCTCAGGAGAATCCTAATCGCACTGGAGCAGCCACAGCTTGATTCCATCCTCAGTGATGCCTTCTGACATTTAATGAGTTAAGGAGCTAAATCCCCTTCATCCCAGAGTGGCTGAGCTAGCTAGCTGCAGTGCTGGCTGCCGCAGGAGCAGCGGGTGGGGGCGGGGCCAGGACTAGACTAGCCATGCCTGCATCTGTATGGCAATGTGCTTGCAAGTGCAAATCCACGTGTGTGCAAATGATGGTGCCTGTGAGCACAGGGTCACAACTCACCGGAGGTCAGTCAGGCTCGGATCACCTACCTCCGCCAAATGGCCAGCACGCTCATCACAGAGCCCAGAACAAGGAGGGCTGAGATGGTCACCACGGTGACAACAACTGCGGGGCTCTGGTCCCTGGTGCTGGAGGCAGCTGGGAGGAAGAGCAGGAGGCTGAGGCAGGCAGAGCACCGGGCTCCTGGGTCAGTGTCCTCGCCCCACAGAAGGGTTTCTGCAGCCCCTTTGACTCCCAGCAGCAGGGGGATCGAGGCAGTCCCGCCAAACACAGCGGCGCCTGCAGCCTCCAGTTCTCCCTGGGCTGGGCACCTCCACAGAAGCCCAGCTCTGAGCGAGGCGCAGGGGTCCGACAGGCAGACCTGGGACCCCCTTTTTGCCTTTCAGATGGGCAATGACAGACTTGAGGTAGCTCTGCAGGGGGAATGGCCTCTTGTCGGAGCTCCCCAACCCCAAACGAGACCATTCACCACCAATAATAATAAAAGTAAACATTTAGTGCCATTCTGGACACTAGGCCATGTGCCTGAACTGAATGATCCTGTCTCATCATCACAACCAGCCAGTATGGTGCTACTGTCTCCATTTTACAGCTGAGGAAATTGACATTGAGACAAGTTGTATAACGTGTTCAAGGTCACAGAGCTAATAAAAAATGAACCTAAGATTTGAACTTGATTTCAAACCTCTGCTTTGAATTATTTCACCAAGGGAGAGGCCTAGAGGAGCTCAGGCTGTCAGCCCTATTCACCCATCCACCCATCCACCCATCCATTCACCCATCCATTCACCCATCCATTCACCCATCCATTCACCCATCCATTCACCCATCCATTCACCCATCCACCCATCCATCCACCCATCCATCCACCCATCCACCCAACAGTACGAGGCTGGTACTGGGGAGGAAGCAATGAATGAGCCAGATTCCCTGCCCGGGAGGGGTGTACAGATCAGCGGGAAAGATAGAAACAAGAATATAACTGTAGAATAAAATAAGAAACAGAGAAAGCTGAGCAGGGCTGAATAGAGGAACAATAATTTCTTCCCAAAGGCTTTGAAGAATGTGGCAAAAGTAATGGGTATCATTCCCAAGATTAGGTTACGGGAGAGAGTGCCTTCTGTCTCGGGTGTTCTCTCGCTCATTCAGTCTCTAAAGGAGAAGCCCATGAGCCAAGGAACTGCATGCCTCCGCCAAAGAGCCAGCAAGAACCCAAGTAGGGCTCTAGTTGGTTTGGCTCAGTGGATAGAGTGTCAGCCTGCGGAACGAAGGGTCACAGGTTCGATTTCAGTCAAAGGCACATGCCTGGCTTGCGGGCTTGGTCCAACCTGCAGGAGGCGGTTAATCAATGATCCAACCTGCAGGAGGCGGCTAATCAATGATCCCTCTCATCATTGATGTTTTTGTCTCTCTCTTCCTCTCCCTTTCTCTCTGAAATAAGTAAATATATATATAAAACCTAAGTAGGGAGACAGAGTCTCCCACAGTTAAGCCTTCAGATGAATCACAACCTCAGAGGACACCTTGACTACATTCTTGTGAGAGATCCTGAGTCATGTGGCACCCAGTTAAGCTGCACCCATACCCTTGACCAACAAAAAAACATGAGATAACAAATTTTTAGCTGCTAAGTTTTGGGGCAATTTGTTTTGCAGCAATGGGACACTGAAGCATGGTCTTTCATCATGAACCTGATCTGGGGTTATATCTCACTGGAAAAAATGCTATGCAGATCGGGAGGCCCAGGCCCCCATAACCAGGGAACTGAGCAGTATCCAAGCTCCAGAGGAATGGAAGTCACCAGCCCCTTCCGCTAACAGTCCCAGCTCCTGCCCATACCACACTCACTCCAGTCAAACCCATGCTCCTTTGTTCGGATGGCTTCATCTATCCAAAATGCCTTTCCTGCCTGTCTCCACACAGTCATGTTCCCCAGCCTCCGAGACATGGCTCTAATCTCCGTTTGCCAGCACCTGGCCAAGGTCTGGCACAGACGGGCATTTGAGCAAGAAGTGCTGTCTCCCTTCCCAGAACTCAACCTCCCTCAACACTTTATCTCCACCTCCCTTTGGGCTCAGAGCTCTGCCTATCTTGGATTAGACTCGTGTAGCAGGTTGGGAAGAATTATTATCTTGACAGCTGGTGCCAGAATGCCTCCTAGGGGGAACTGCCTTTGTCCAGGAAAATACTTTCGTGAGCTGCTGGGGATAGATAGAGGTGAGACCCTGAGGACTGGGTTAGCAGCAAGAGAAACAACAAAAGAGGGAGCGGCCTGCTCTTTATGCTTCCTGAAAGGGAGTTTGGGGGTGCAGGAACGAGGAACCGGGGGAGGCTGGTGAAGGGGGTGGTAGGACAATGCCGTGGAGAAGCGGAGCTGTTTTAGAATCAGCATATCTAATGTTCGGCTTTTGTTTTGTTTTGATGACAGCTCTGTTGAGAATTTATTCACCACTGAGCATGTACAACTCAAGTTTGGTTGTGCTCATTGCTGCGGTGCAACCCCTTTATCGCCCCCACCTTCAGTGAAGTCTGTTTCAATACTTTAAGGCCTAGTGGGGAACGAACATGATATGGGCAAGTTTGGGTCCATATCACGGCAGAGAGAAAGAAGCAGAATGGGAACAAGAAGTTAGCTGTCAGCTCAGCTGGTGTGGCTCAGTAGTTGAGTGTCATGGTTTGATTCCCAGTTAGCGCACATGCCTGGGTTGCCGGCTCAGTCCCCAGTGGGTCAACCCCCAGTGTGGGTTTGCAGGTGGCAGTCAGTTGATCAATGATTCTCTCTCATCATTGATGTTTCTATTTCTCTCCTTTTCCCTTCCTCTCTGAAATCAATAAGAATATATTTTTTTTTTTTTAAAGAAAAGGAAAAGAAAAAGAATTAGTGGCCGAAACCAGTTTGGTTCATTGGATAGAGCGCCAGTCTGCGGACTGAAGGGTCCCAGGTTCGATTCCGGTCAAGGGCATGTACATTGGTTGTGGAGGCGGAGGCAGCTGGCCGATGTTTCTCTCTCATCGATGTTTCTAGCTATCTATCCCTCTCCCTCTCTGTAAAAAATCAATAAAATATATGTAAAAAAAAAAAAAAAAAGAATTAGTGGTCAGAGCAAGAGGTGACCATGAGACTGAAACTCCTCCCAAGGAAATAGCAAGAATCTTGGGGAGGGCACAGGATGTTTCCACAAGACGTGGGATAGGTCCCGTGAGGCAGGGAGTCACCAGCCCAGACCTGGGGTGTTTGTGACCTCCTTCCCGGGAGCTCCTCCAGCACAGGAAGCCGTCTAATTCACATCCTGAAGAGGTATCAGGTGGTTCCCAATGCACTCGTTAACGAGACGGTCATTAAACTGCACCGCAGGCTCTCTTAATTGCACAGATAACCGCCCCCTGCAATTTGTCTCCCTGTCCCATCCCGCCCAGGTCCCCTGGCACAGCTCACTTACCCTCCCCGGGGGTCTGTACTTCAATGCTGGGGTTGAAACTCTGGGTCTCCCAAGAGGGCCCCGGGGAGGCCGCCCGGATCTGAAAGATGTAGCGGGTAGCTGGCTTCAGGTTGGTAACGGTGACCGCAGGCGCCCCTGTCTTCACTGTGGAGTAGGTCTGCTCGTTCTGACCCTGGGGAGAGACCAAGAAGTGAGGCCTAGACCCAGGGCCAGACCCAGGCTCCTGGGAGAATGATGGGGGAGAGGGAGCAGGAGGCAGGAGAGCACCCTTAGGAAGAAGAACCTGACTCCATTTGTGGATTCCACATGTTTCTCCCAAAGTATCCGTGCTTTCCCCACCACAAGCTCCCACCCACACTCGCTGAGGGAACCTTCAGGGAAGGGGCTACATCTTCCTTCGCGGGGGTGACAGGATGACGGGCAGCAGGGCCTGGCAGTCCAGGGGGTGAGCTGGGCCTGCTGCCTCCAAGGAAAGAACAAGAAAATGAGACCTGGCACCTGCCCGGTCCTTGTTGCTCATAAAGCCTTTCTTCCCTTTGTCATCTGGTTTTCACAACTGCCCTGCAAGGCACAGGACAGGAGGTGTCCTCTCCTTGAGATAAGGAAATTGAGCTCAGAGGGTAGTTCTCCACCTTCCTATTCAACATACCACGCCCCCAAAGCACAGCTCCCAACAGACTTCCTATTCAAAACCTATTATGTGATTCAGCAAAGAGGTTCCTCCAGCGACTGAGGAGCCCTGAAGCTCTGACACAGGCAGGGCTGAGGCTGCGAGCAGGCTTCACGGTGATGAAGATATGTGCACCACATGGGAAACAGTTTAACAGCAGATGGTGTGTCAGATTTGAAGACAGTACAGCCATGGGGAAAAGAGATAGTGGGTCGGGAGGTAAGTCCATTTGTCAAATCATGGCGGGACTGCAACCATGGATTGACAACAGACACAAGAGGTAAGCAAAAAATCAGCCAGAGCATCCTATCAGAATCAATAGCTATAGGCGTTTACAATAAGAAGCGCTGTGTATATATAATGTCAGCTCAGGTTTCAATGCCAAATGGATGACAGAGAAGATTCTGGTTTGGCTCTGTCAGAACTGTAGACAAAGGACTATCAATCCATATACAGATCATATCCTGTTGCTGTCCAGGGGCAGTCCCCTCAGCGTGGCATCAATGGAAAATCTCATGTGATCTACTTTATGCTACCCATGCCTTCTTCTCTTATTGGATCATAAAAGTCCCATGAGGCTATTTTAATTTTCTGTATTTTCTAAATCCCTACAGTAAATATATATTTAAAATTAAATGCATTAAAATTTCAGTTGAAATTTTATAAAGCTGGGACAGTAGGATGTCCACACCTAGTGTGTGTGTGTGTGTGTGTGTGTGTGTGTAGGGGGGCTGATGTGCTGACAGCTTTGATTTTGCTTTTCACTGTTGTAGCATGAAGTTCTCCCGTCTGTGGGTACCTCATTAGGAAGAGTGGAAGGAATTCCCTCCTGTCCATCAACCTCCTCTTCCTCTCCCCACCCTTGACCCTCACAAAAGTAAACAGACCTCTGTGTACTGCCATCTTACTAGGGTAATGGCAGGACACTGGCTTCAAGTGGTAACAGCCAAGTTCCACCGGAATGGGTGGGAGGGTGGCTGCCTCACCTCAGGCTGGCACAATGCCTCTAAGGCAGCGGGATCTCAGAGAATGTCCCCCTGGGGCGTGGAGTGGTTGGTAACTAACTGTGATGGTGTTTAGAGCCCAGATGGCTTCGCTCGGAGGGGGTGAAGTTGGGATCTACTTGAGCAAAGCTGCACAGATCAGCAGGGCCACTGTATATTTTTATTATTATCTGTAAATGATGTTACATATCCTTCATGTCAGTACAATTATTACAATTATTATAATAACCCGTCCATTCCCTGTTCCAGAGAGCTGACTGTTAAACCCTTACCAGCACCCCTCGGAGCCCTGGCAGGCCACCTGACCTAGCCCTGTGCTGAGACAATCATGCGTTTTTGTAAAATTTGAAACAATATGATATTTCTGCATTGTTTTTCTAAGGGTTGTAAATTGTAGGTCTACGATTCGATTCGGGTACACAAAACCTGGATCCGCCGGCAGAGAGAGCTCTTTGTCAGCTGTAAACAGGCAAAAGCGGGAAGATGGGGATGAAGGCAGTGAGGAAGGAAGGTCTGAGGGGAAGAGGAAGAGCAGGCGAGTCCACCGTGAGCAGGGGCCAGGAAGAGACTCCGGCGTGGGAGGCCGGCCACTCCGGGGCCAGTGGGTATGTTTAGAAAGAAAGAAAGAAAGAAAGGTTTTGCTGGGAAGAGGAAACGACGGGCCCGGGGGCAGACTGCCACTGGGAACGCAGCGCCAGGTGCCTCGGGGACCCTGACCCACCTTCTCGTAGTAGCGGATCTCGTACTCGGTGCCATTGGCCCCAGCGGCTCCAGCAGGGATGGGCTCCCGCCAGGACAGGGACACGCTCTGGGGCTCCACTCGGTCCCTTCGAATCTCATCCTCCTCCCAGGGCCCTGGAAGAAAGGAATGTGGGTTTTCCGACCCTATCTGACTGCAGGGCGGGGTCAGGGGGCTGGAAGGGTCGGCCGGAGAGGACTGGGGGCGGGGCTGGGGAAGGCTGAGGGGCGGGGCCTGGTGGCTGTGGGTGGGGCCAATGGGCTTCAGAGGGGCAGAGGCTGAGGGGTAGAGTCTGAAGCCAGAGGCAAGCGAGGCCCCAGTCACTCCACACCCTGCTCTCTACTTCCTTGGCTTCTATGGAGAAAAGTGCCAGGCCTCCTGCTGCTTACACATCCCCTAAACTCCAGCTCCCCTCCTGGTGGGAGGTTCTAGTCCCCCAGGCTCTCCCTAATTTTTCTGTGGTTTAGAGACATCAGGGAGTATAAGAGCCAGGAAGACCAGCTACTTAATCATTCCAATGATCTGGCTAAGAGGTAATATACTCAACACACACAAAATGAAAGGAAACCACTTCACCACAATAAAAACCAACATGAAAAGACCACAGCCGACATATTACTCAACAGTGAAAGGTTGAAAGCCTTCCCTCTAAAGTCAGGAACAAGAAAAGGATGTCCACTCTTGCCACTTTGATTCAACCTAGTATTGGAAATCATGGCCAGGAGAATTAGACAAAAATAAATAAATAAATAAAAGAAATCCAGATTGGAAAGGAAGAAGTAAAATTATTTCTTATATAAAGAAAATCCTAAAAATTTCACACACACACACACACACACACACACACACCTGTTAGAACTAATTAACAAATACAGCAAAGTTGCAGCATACAAAATCAACACACAAAAATCAGTTACATTATACACTAACAGTAGACAGTCTAAAAAATTTAAGGAAATACCTTCATTTGGAATAACATTAAAAAGAATAAAATATTCAAGAATAAACTTAATGTTGATGGACAGAAAAAAAAGAAGAAAAAAAAAGAACAGGTATTAATGCCTAACCCCAGGGTGGGCAAACTGCGGCTCATGAGCCACAACAGGCGGCTCTTTGGCCCCTTGAGTGTGGCTCTTCCACAAAATACCACGGCCTGGGCAAGTCTATTTTGAAGAAGTGGCGTTAGAAGAAGCTTAAGTTTAAAAAATTTAGCTTTCCAAAGAAATTTCAACCGTTGTACTGTTGATATTTGGCTCTGCTGACTAGTGAGTTTGCCGACCACTGGCCTAAACCAAAGCAGAAACCACCAGGTTACTGGGGAAAGGTCATGACTTGACTTCAGTGTGTGAGGCCATGGAGTTTCCAAGAGAAGATGCTGGAAAGGCAGTTGGGTAAGTGGTTCCAGGGCTCACGAAAGATGTCTTTGAGGAAGATGGAAACCCAAGAGCCATCGGAAAGTGATTGAATGAAACTGCCCAGAAAGGGAGTGGGAAAAGCTTTTTGGAAATAAGCCAAAGACAGGACATCTTAGAGGCAGGCAAAGCAGGGAGTGAAGAGGAGGAGCCAGAGAGGTAGGAGGAAAACAAAGAGCCAATGACGACGTCACAGAAGCCCCGGGGGAACATTTAAGAAGCTTCTCTCCTGACCCCTCCAGTCATTAGCTCTGTGTCCACCAGCGCAGAGTGGAAACAGCGATGGCTGTGCAGGCTGGCCGTGAGGATTCTATGAAATGATGATATGAAGAGCCCAAGCACAGTGCCAACACAGTTCGCTAACAAGAGGGACCAGCGGTCAGCAGTGTCACATGCTGAGAAGAGAGGGACAGGGGTAAGATGGTGACCCCAAGTGCCCTTTGGCGTTCACACCGTGTAGGTTCCTAGTGGCTTCAAAGGGTTAAAGGGGAGGCGATGTCAGGTGGTGAGGGCCCAGGAAGTGGAGGCAGGGCATATGTACTCCCTCTTTGAAAAGTGTGTTAGCGTGGCTTCCAGTTTTAAATGGTATCCATCTAGCAGCCCCACCTCCAGTTTTCCTCAAACTTCAGCTGAAGCCCTGGCTGGTTCAGCCCAGTGGTTAGGCATCGGCCAGGGGACCTACAGGGTTGCAGGTTCAACTACCAATCAAGGGCAGCTACCTGGGTTGCAGGTTCAATCCCTGGCCCTGGTGCACATGCCAGAGGCAACCAATTGATGTGTCTCTCTCACCTGGATGTTTCTCCCCCTCCTCCCTCCCTTTCACTCCCTCTTAAAAAAAAAAAAAAAAAAAAAAAAAAAAAAAAAAAAAAAGTCAATGGAAAAATATCCTAGGATGAGGATTTTTTTAAAAAACTTTTCCCCGTTGAAACAGGGATACAGAAGGAGTCAAAAACCCGGAACAGCACCATAAACTACTCTTGACAGCTGATGGCCAGAATGGGGGCAGGACAGGAAGTGGAGTGGCATATTTCTACCTGTGATAAAGCCAGTGGAACTAGATTGAAGAGCAATTGTAGCGAACCCCAGGCTAAGCTGCCCACAGAGTGGCATTGCCTCTCATCCTAAAAATAATCTGAAAGGTCCTGTGTCCTTCCTCACAATGTCTGACCCTGACAGAATAGCAAGGTCTTTGTCAGCTGGACAATGCACAACCATCACTCGGCTGCACGGCTGCTTTCAGGAAAAGCCCTCTTGCTGATCCCAGGGAGTGCCTCTCAGCCTGAACCCGGGTGGAGACAGCAGCTCCCAGGAAAGATGTGGCGAAAAGGGAAGGGGGCGTGAGGAAGTGTCCTGGGAGGTGGCACAGTCCCTTGCAGATACAGAGAAATGGCACAGGTAGAAAGGGGCTAGGAATGTCATTTTTTTAAAAATATATTTTATTGTTTTTTGCCGAGACCGGTTTGGCTCAATGGATAGAGCGTCGGCTTGGGGACTGAAAGGTCCCAGGTTCGATTCCGGTCAAGGGCATGTACCTTGGTTGCGGGCACATCCCCAGTAGGGGGTGTGCAAGAGGCAGCTGGTCGATGACTCTCTCTCTCATCGATGTTTCTAGCTCTCTATCTCTCTCCCTTCCTCTCTGTACAAAATCAATAAAATATATTAAAAAATATATATATATATATATATTTTATTGTTTTTTTACAGAGAGGAAGGGAGAGGGATAGAGAGTTAGAAACATCGATGAGAGAGAATCATCGATCAGCTGCCTCCTGCACACCCCCTACTGGGGATGTGCTTGCAACCAAGGTACGTGCCCTTGACCAGAATCAAATCTGGGACCTTTCAGTCCGCAGGCCGATGCTCTATCCACTGAGCCAAACCAGTCCCGGCAGGAATGTCATTTTTTTTTAAACTACGTTTACTGAGCCGAAACTGGTTTGGCTCAGCGGTAGAGCGTCAGTCTGTGGACTGCAAGGTCCCAGGTTCGATTCCGGTCAAGGGCATGTACGTTGATAGCGGGCACATCCCCGGTGGGGGGTGTGCAAGAGGCATCTGGTCAATGTTTCTCTCTCATCAACGTTTCTGGCTCTCTATCTCTGTAAAAAATCAATAAAATATATTTTTATTAAAAAAATTTTTTAAAAAAATAAACTACGTTTATTGAAAGCATCAGAGGGACAGGATATAGCGGTAAGAGAAGGTTCCATTTCAGCCCCATAGAGATATGTCAGATGAGAGCCTGATAAATCCCGAGAATGGAGCTAAAAGCCGAGCCCAGGCACCTGCTCTCCGGCTGCAGGTGTGTGATGAGATTCATCTGCATCAAGTGGGGCCACGAGTGCAGCCGACGCCGCTGGGAACCTGTTCACCAGCCACATCCCCCTTCCCTGGCGGCTGAGCGCAATTTCTGACTCGGGATGTATTGTCTCCCCCGAGAGGATGCAGGTTAACGCTGATTGTTCTAGCACATCTGTGTGCACTCGTTCCCTGTGCCAATGATTGCTCTAGGGGTGGGCTTCAATCCGGTTCTGGCCAACAAAAGGAGCAATCAGCTAAGAAGAAGAGGGATTCTGGAAAAGGTTTCTTATTCTTAAAAAGATGCCTACAAGAAAGAAGCAGTTCCTCTTCTGCTCTGGATGGTAAGGATGTGATTTCTGGGGCCAACTTGCCACCATGAAGGAGCCAGCCTGTGTGATAAGGATGCCAGAATGGAAAGATGGAAAGAACTAGGTCCTTGAGGACACTGCTGAGCTGCTGGATTACCCAGGCTTTAACTCTCCTCTTTTTAGGTAAACTCAGAAATCATTCTAATCTAATGTCTGATGGACTGAGATTTATTGTGCTTGCAGCTGAAAGTCTCACAATCAAAAGACAATTCACACATCTCGGGGGTTTTTGTTTTTTTTTTAATATCAGCTTTTTCGTTGTTCAAGAACAAGTAACAGCCGAAACCAGTTTGGCTCAGTGGATAGAGTGTCAGCCTGCAGTCTGAAAGGTCCCAGGTTCGATTCCGGTTAGGGGCATGTACCTTGGTTGCGGGCACGTCCCCAGTAGGGGATGTGCAAGAGGCAGCTGATCGGTGATTCTCTCTCATCGATGTTTCTAACTCTCTCTCCCTCTCTCTTCTTCTCTGTAAAAAATCAATAAAATATATTTTAAAAGAAGAAGAAGAAGAACAACAACAACAACAACAACAAATTGGGCTCTGGCTAGTGTGGCTCAGCTGGTTGGAGCATCATCCCATATACCAAAAGGTTATAGGTTTGATCCCCTGGACAGGCACATACAGAAGGCAGCAAATCAATGTTCGCTCTCTAAAAAAAAAACAAAACAAAACAAAAAAAAAACCACCACAAAACACACACACACACACACACACACACAAATTTGTAGTAACAAAATAGTCATGGGGATGTAAAGTACAGCATAGGGGATATAGTCAATACTATTGTAATAACTATGTCTCGTGCCAGGTACGTACTTTAAAGATTGAGAATGTCATCAAACTTCCCCCCACCCCCCAAAAAAAGGTGCATGTCTCAGAGAATTACCCATGCCTTCAAAGAATGTATAACTCTGCTATTTAAATTGTCCCAGAGGAGGAGAAAAAGAAGAGTTTCTTGATGCCTTTCCCAAAGCCAGAATCACCATAATGCCAAAATGTAGCAAATAATGCAATAAAACACACTACACAATTCTCTCTTATAAATGTAGATGGAGAAAAATATTAACTTCAAGCAAATTAATTCAGCAAAATATTAAAAGAATAATGCACTCATATCCAGCAGGGTATCCAGAACAGGGTGGCTGGCTGGACCCCACCGGTGCACAAATTCGTGCACTGAGCCTCTAGTCATCTAAGAATGCAAAGAGAGTTCACATAGAGAAATTCATTAATAGAATTCACCTACCAATAGGTCAAAAGAGAAGAGAACACATGGTCATCTTGAAAGATGCTTAAGAGGCATTTTATAAAATTAGCATCCATTCCTTATTTTTACAGAAAGTTCACTAAAAAATGGAAGCATTATGTTATATAGCCAAGGGGCTTTGGTGGTAGACAGACCTGGATTCAAAGACTGGTGTCTACTTACCAGCTGATTGACTTTGGACAACTTAATTCGATTCTCAGACCTCAGTTTCATCATCTAAAAGATGATTATCATTCCATTTAAATGAATTAATGTAGAAAATCACATTGCACAATGCCAAACATAAAGCAGCATTCAATCAGTAGAAGTTTTGTATTTTTGTTAATTAATAAAAATAAAGAGTATTTCCTGGATATAAAGAATATTTCCTTAACATAATTTCTAAATCCATCACTATAAAACAAACAAACAAACCAGGATTGTTAATATGAAATATCAGATAAAAGTTTATATTACATATAGTATTATACATAAAGGATTTTCTAGTATAATAGATAGTTCTATATATGGGTATTAAGGTAACGACAGGAAAAAAAAAAAAAGGCAGAAAAAAATGTGGAAGGATATATTCCAAGATATTACTAGTTGCTTATCTCTGGATAATAGAATTATGGGTGCTTTTTCCGTACTAAAATTTTAAAAATGTAAATGCAATAGCAAATATTAAATCACACAGAGATAGTAAGAAACCAGAACTGTTGCTCCAGAAAACCAGACAAAAGGCAAAGGAAATGGACTAAGAGCTAAAAAAAGATAAAGGGAGTGACAAGATTTGAAGATCAGAAAATGAATGTACAACCCAAGGCTTAGAGAGATTCTTAAGAGAGATACTGAGTTACCAGAAGTCCCAGTGAGAGCAGTAACTGGAAATGTTTTTTCCAGGAATAAAAAAAGATGTACAAATCAAAAGTTTTACTGTGTTCCAGCCAAACTCAATGAAAATAGAGTGCTACTGATTAAATTTTACTTTCATCAGTAGGTTAAAGAATTATACACATGGGCATGCATACAGCTGCATGTGCTCGCACAAGCCTCTGTGTGTGTGTGTGTGTGTGTGTGTGTGTGTGTGTGTGTGGTCACATGCTTCTACACTGTTTTCTGATGCTTATCAGTGATTTCCAAGTGTTTTCAAACACAGTTTCCTTCCATTTAGAAGTGAATTCCAAGTGGTTTCAAACACAAAGGAATGAAAATTCCTGGCTCAGACTTTCTGCAATACAACTATCAGAAGACAGGAAAGTTGAGTCACAAACCAATCATATCTTCTCAGATAATGGAAAGGCAGAAATTATACCACTCACTTGTCCTTCCTAAAAATTTATATTTATGGATTTCAGAGAGGAAGGGAGAGGGAGAACGTGATAGAAACATCAATGATGAGCCGGGACCGGTTTGGCTCAATGGATAGAGCGTCGGCTTGGGGACTGAAAGGTCCCGGGTTCGATTCCGGTCAAGGGCATGTACCTTGGTTGCGGGCATATCCCCAGTGGGGGGTGTGCAAGAGGCAGCTGATCGATGACTCTCTCTCATCGATGTTTCTGACTCTCTATCTCTCTCCCTTCCTCTCTGTACAAAAATCAATAAAATATATTAGAAAAAAAGAAGAAAAAAAAAAGAAACATCAACGATGAGAGAGAATCATTGACCGGCTGCCTCCTGCACGCCCCCTACTGGGCTCCACGTGCCCTGACCCCAACTATATCTCTTGGTTCATAGGTGGATGCTCAACCACTAAACCTCACCCGGCTGGGCCACTTATCCTTCTTGCAAAAGGTGATCCCCAGCTGAATGAGAGACAAATCAAAATTTCAAGAACGAAGAAGCTGTAGTATGAAAGGGTTCTCGGTCTTCATTTCCTCATCGCAGTTCCATCGCCCCTACAGCCTGACCGTAGAGCTTCCTAGCTCTTCTCCAGGACCAGGAAAGAGGTGACCAAGGCAACAAAATTCCTGCCAAGACTGAGGGATGGAAGGTATGATTCCTCTAAGACCGAAGAGGGAGTGTGATTTTGCTTCCTACTGACTTTTCCAAAAGGGAAGACAAGCGATGGAGGGACTTTCCACCTCTCTTTCCCTGGGAAAGCAGAGGCAAGGCAACTCCCAGCAAAGACTTTCTGCGCAGCCAGGAGCGCCCACCGGCTCCCATGGACTCTCAGTCACCTGCCCCCTCACCCCTCCGCCCGGCCTTCGGGAAGGGGCTGGCCTGGGCGGGGATCACCGCGGCCGGGGATTTGGGGGCTCCCTTCTCCTGCTGGAGACGCTGGGCGCCTGTCTGACTGAGGTTTCTCTGAGCGGCTGCGGGGTGTGGGGTGACCCCGGGGGGCGGGAAGGCGGCCTGGGGAGGGCGCGGGGGCGGAGGCAGGAGCGCACGGGGGCGCGGGGAGGCCGGCGCGCGGGGTGGCTTACCGCCGGGCCCGGTGGAGACGGTGACCTGCGCGTAGGTGGCTCCCGCGGCGGCCGCGGGGCCGGACACGCCGTTGAGCGCCGCCACGCGCACGGTGTAGCGCGCGCCGGGCCGCAGGTGCAGCAGCGTGGCGGCGCGCTCGCGGAGGCCGGCCCGGCGCGGCACGAAGGCCACGCGCGGCCCGCACGGCTCGCAGGCGCCCGGGTCCCCGCGGCCGCAGCGCAGGCACAGCAGCGAGTACGTGACGTCCGAGCGGCCGCCCGAGTCGGCCGGCGGCAGCCAGCGCAGCCTCAGCGCCAGCGGCGAGCGGCTCAGGCTGTACTGCAGGTCCCGCGGCGCCGACGGCGGCCCTGGCGGACAGGGCGGTCAGCGCAGGGCGGGGGGCGGGCGGGCGGCGCGGGGCGGGGCAGGGAGGGCGCGTGGGTCCAGCGAGGGGGCGGGGCGCGTGGGGCCCAGGGAGGGGGCGGGGCGCGTGGGGCCCAGGGAGGGGGCGGGGCGCGTGGGGCCCAGGGAGGGGGCGGGACGGGGCGCGTGGGGCCCGGGGAAGGAAAGGGGCGCGTGGGTCCAGCGAGGGGTTCCAACGAGGGGGTAGGATGAGACAGTGGGCGAGGTCGGGTGTGGGTGGGGGAACGGAGGTAAGTGAGGGGACGAGGATGGGGGGTCGGGGGTCTAGGACAAAGTGAGCCGCCTCCTGGCTGGAGAGGGGGGCTGAGGTGAGGTGGGGACGGATGGGAGCGGTTCACTCCGATCTCTGCCTAGAAGTCCACCTGGATCATCCCTCTGTCGGCATGCTCCCCGTTTTTCTGGTTTTTCCAACCCAAAGCCCGGGCCCCCATTCCCATCCAGGCTCCCTTCCCTCCCGCGACCCTTCTAGCTGGCCTTTCCCCTCCCCAGTGCGGAGCCCCAGTCCCCCCTCACCAACACTTGGACCCGACTTCACAGACGCCCCCCACCCTCCGTGGGCAATGTGTCCGGAGGGGGACTCACGGGTGCAGGAGGCCCAGGGCGGGTCGGTGGGCGAGCGCGCGTAGCTGTCCTGGCACACGCAGACCGTGGAGGCCGTCTCCAGGGCCCGGCTGTGCTCTGGGCATGGGGAGCACAGGGGCCGCCGAGGGGATATCTTGTAAAACCCTGGGGGACAGGCTGCAAGCAGGAGCCACGTGAGAAGGACGGGGAAGGGGGTCCTCCGCAGCATCCTCCTCCCCCGCTTTCCTGCCTGCCCTCATTGGGGGGGCTGATCTCCTCTGCCTGTGGTGGGGGAGGTGGGAGAAAGGGCCTCAGCTACTCCAGCACTGCCCTGTGGCATGGTAGCTCCTGACTGAGCAACCCCGTACTCCCTAACCATAGAGCTTAACCGTGCTAGCACACTGTTCAACTGTTAATAACCCTTTTAATCCTCACACCAATCTGTGAATATGTGCTGGTTCCCCATTTTAAGAATGAGGACACGAAGGCTCAGAGAGGTTAGGTAACTTGCCCACGGTCCCACAGCTGGTAAATGGTGGGATTCCAACCAGGGTCCCGGTGCCCATTGGAAGAAAAGGAGGCAAGCGTTCCAGTCTTGATGTGAGGACAGAAGAGAAGCACTTCCACGGTCACCAAGGAACAGACACCCACACACTCCCAGCCACAGAGACCAACACTCTGGCGCGCGCGCACACACACACACACACACACACACACACACACACTGTCAAAGCTCGTCCTCCCACCGCTATTCGGGGCTAAGCGTCATAAATCCTCAATTCACACACCCGTTCCAGCCAGCTGGAGGGCAGGGGATTGGAAAGAGAAGATGGACAGTGCCACTACCTCTAGTCTTGGCATCGTCTCAGTGACTTTGCTTCTCTCACCTCACCCAGAACACAGGTTGTTAAGAGCACACAGGCTTTTAAAACGGAACAACCTGGATCTGCAGCCACTTGTTTGCTGTGTGGTCTTGGGCAACCCAGTTGACCTCTCTGAGCCTTGTTGTGGAATACCTCCACAAGGTTTTTGGAGGATTCGCAGAAATAAAGCATGTAAACTGCTCAGCCAAGTAGAGACAACATTTACACAATAATGGTAGTAATTACTGTCCTCCCCGTCACCAGCCTGAAATGGAAACTGCTACACACCCACTCTAAGAAATGTGTCCCCAGCTGGGCCAGGGAAGGAGGCGGCGGCTCCATGCCCCTCCTCTCAGGGCCTGGCTGGTTCTCCCGTGCTCCTTAGCTCCAGCACGGTTTCCCTGACCCTCCCCTGAAACTGGTTATGGAAGGCTGGCTGCTCCCAGCACCAGGAGGACAGAGTATAAAGGGAGGGATGAAGACTGGCCCTTGGGAAGGACATCCTGCTTGGGAGAAGAGGGGCAGAGCTGAGTGTTTCCATCATCTGGAAGGCTTAGGCTTGGGAGGGTCCATCTTGCCTAGAATGCTGGGCAACCCAGTAGCCCAGGAGCCTTTGGGCCTCTCTGCCTCAGAGCAAAACATGGAACCCGCTAACTTTGTGGGCTGTAGTGTAGGGAGCAGCAGTGACCGCAGCTGGGACTCACAAGTCCTGGGCTCCCAGTGTCAGCGCTGCCACTTCCTTTGCCTCCCTGGTCTCAGGAAGCCCTCAATCAAATGACAGTCACAACCATGGCCGGCTCACCTCTGTTGTAAAGTGAGAGAGGCCTCGCAGCTGTCAGAAGAGAAGGCTAGGAGCTGCCTTGCTCTGTGTGCATGGGAGCATCTGAGTCTCAGAGATGGGTGGCCCCGTCAGGGACAGCATTGGTGATCTCTGCTTTGAGAGGCTTTGTTGAGAAGAGGTTTGTGTTGAGGGGCAGACTCAAGAAGGGACTCCTGCCTGCTAGTCCCTCCCTCTCTTCCTCAAGGTCACAGTCGGAATTTCAGAGGGCATCTAGCTCAGCTGGCCCAGCCCTCCAGCAGCTCTCCTAGCAGTAGCTGTAGCCTTTGCTCCTATACTTGGTAATGGGGAGCCCACCCTGCTCTGAGGCTGCAAGCAACACTGGCAGTTAGAAAGCACTGCCTCATATCGAGCCCCAGGCAGCTCCCTGTCTGAGGTCCCCGTGTGCCACCACATCACAGGCTCTCAGTGTGCCCTGTGGAGCCTGGAGGGGCATCTGCTCCAAGGGTTTTTCTGCTCCAAGGGAGCTCTACCAAGATTTGGAAACACAGGTTAGACACCCTGATTTCCTCCCCACGTCTTTCAGCAGTTTCCCAGTGGCTGGGAAAGGGGAAGCAAGAGTCAAGATCACTAAAGAGAGAAACAAAGACACGTGGGAGGCCTTCCTTCTAAATACAATTCTGACCATTTCCCTTCCCCTCCAACAGCTCCGCACGGCCATCACACCACCCATGCCACTCTTCCCTCACAGGCCGGGGTCTTGTCCTACAATGTCTTACACCCTTTCTCTCCTGGCCAACTCCCATGCTTCTCCAATCCCCAGTTTAAATAATATCTCCCTGTGACGCTTTCCTTGTCACCCTCCCCAGATCCCTGCTCCCCAAGCAGAGCTGATGCCATGACAAGTGATCTTTGGTCTCGGCCTAAGGAGAGGGAGTCAGCACAGCTCCAGGGTGGGGTGGGGTTTCTGAGTGTGTTGGGTGTACGTGTGTGATCTAAACCTCCCCCTCCGGCCCCGATCCATTCACTCAATTTTTTTTAAGCACCTACTATAAGCAGGCGCTCTTCTAGGCTCTGGAGACTCAACAGGGAAACCAGGATGCTACTGTCCACTGGCACAGAGGCCCTCCTCCCACCTTATAGGAAGAAGAGAGGCCATCAGTTGGTAATTCCCTCAGTATCTGGCCATCAAATCCACCTCTGTACTCACCTCTCCTTCCTTCCTTCCTTCCAAGCCTTGTGGATCCTTCCCTCTGGATCCCACCCCTTCATCTCCTCCCAGACTTATCCCATCAGTTACCTAACCTCCGAACTCTTACACTCGCCTTTTCTACTGGCTCTTCCCAGTGGCAGAACACAGGGGCAGAGAAAAGAAGAAAAAAAAATCGATCCATTTAGAGTACAGACAGTAAGGCCCTGCCTATAGAGTGTTTAAAAACAATAAAACTAACTGAAACGTGGTCTGCTTTTATTAGCAACACGTGTCAGCTATTCTAACCTACAGCAGTAATAAAATATTGCCCCTGCCCCCAAGGATGCCAAGGAAAGCTTCACAGGGAGGTGTTATTTTAAACTGAGGTTTGGAGAAGCATGGGAGTTTGCAAGGAGAGAAAGGGTGTAAGACTTTACAGGACAAGACCCAGAGACCCCTCCTACCACCCCCTCCTGGGTACCCACTGGTTCCTTCCTTTATCAAATAATCAAAGCTCTCCTCTACAGCAAAAATCCACTCCCACCCCACACAGTATCCCCAAGATACCACGCCCTGTCCTCCCCTTTCCAGCCCAGCCTTCTGGGAAGTTGTTTATATTCCGACTCTGGTTTCTGTGCTCCCTTCAATCTCCTGCCGCTGGTCGCCCTCTCCATCACTCAGCTGAGACTGCTGTCACCGAGCAGACATGGTCCCGTCCTCACCTTCCCTGACTGCTCCCCGCACTGTAGGCCATTCCCTCCCAGACACCTCCATCTCCCTTGGCTGCCATGAATTCACACTCTCCAACCTCTGATCACCGCCTTCCTTGTGGGTTCCATTTCTTACACTTCCTCTTCAATATGGCTGTTCCATGAGACTTTATCATTGGCCTTTTGCTTCTTACCCCATACATTCTCCTTGATCTGTCCCAATCACACCCACACATTCAAGTAGCATCTACCTCCCTGTTGCTGAGCTCCACACCCACTTTCTAGCTACCCCTACTTGAATGCACCATGGACACCATGAATTCAACATGCCCACCAGTGTCCTGTGTTCTCTACCCCAGTGACTGACCCTCTGCCCATTCATTTCTCCAGAAGCATCGGAGTCAAAGATGTATCACATGGCCACCAAGCATTGTGGATGCTGTTTCATTGTCACAGCCGTCCTCGTCTCTCAATGATCTCTGCTACTGCCTTAGTTCAGACCTCGTGCTCCTCCTGGACTGTTGTATCCTTTTCCTTCCTCCTCTTCTGGCCTCCAATTCTTCCTTCTCTAATTCTTTCTTTTTAATTGCCACATGAGTGGTCTTTTGAAAATAGGAATCTGTTCATGTTAGATTCCTTCTTCAAATGTCCCCCGATGGTCTAAAGTAGGGGTGTCGAACTCAATCAGAGAAGGGGCCAAAATCTAAAATCCAGCCTAAATCGCGGGCCGAATGGTTTACTGAACAGTCATAAACTGTCATTGTGATGGAAACGCAGCACAGTGCAGTGATGACAGCGCGGTGCGGACCACATTGCAAGGCCTGGTGGGACGGATTTGGCCCGCGGGCCTTGTGTTTGACACGTGGTTTAAAGTATAAAGTCCTTATCCCAGGGTTCAAGACCCTTCATGATTTGCCCTTACCCCCTCCCCAGCTTCATCACCCCTCCCATCCCTAGATGCCCTTTGTTCCAGCCATGCTGACTTTTGCCTAGCCCCAACCGTGCTGCCTTCTCTCCTGCCTCCATGCTTCTGCACTCAATCTCTTAGCTCAGAATGCTCTTGGTTGCCTCTGACTGGCATATTGTCAGTGACAGGTAGCCCATTCCCTGTAATGTAACTAATGCCACTATCCCACAGCTACCTGCATGAATTCCTCCTTATGCATAGGGAGGCACCATGGTGTCAAAGAAACAGCTTGAGAGTTGGGCAAATCTGGATTCAAATCCTGGTTCCCCATTTCCTAACTTAAACGTGTTAGCCTCTCTGAGCCTCTGTTTCCCCATTTGCAAAGCAGAGATAACGATGACTAACTTTATTGCAACGAGGAAATGGGAAGGCCTTGCAATGCATTTATCGTAGCGTCTGAAATATAGGCCCCTAATGTCCCTTTTTTGGGGAAGTCAAATTCACCTCCTAGAAACATCCCTCCTTGGTCCTAGCTGGACCCATTGGAAGCTCCACGAACGCTCAGGACTTCCGGGCTCCCCAGCCCACAGCTTCTCCACCCACCACCTCCTGCTTCTTTCCTCTAAGGCGCCCTCTCTCCCAAGTGCCACCTGCGCGCCCCACCCCCCAAGCCACACCCCCTCGTTCGCCGGATACCTTCGCAGACGTCCCCGCGCTCCTGGAATCCTGCGCTGCAGCTGCAGCGGCCCACCGGCACCAGCCACTCGCCGTCGGCCCCGCAGTGCATGCGCGGGGGGCTGCCGGGCTCCCCCTCCGAGTGCGCCACGCACGTGCCGGGGACCTCCACCAGCGTGGAGAAGGCGCTCTCGGCCGCGGTGGCCGGGAAGGCCGCCAGGCCCCGCACCGTGGCGCGGCACTGCTTGTAGTAGACGCGCACGGACACCAGCGCCACGCAGGCGCCCACGTCCTGGAAGGCCAGGTGGAAGCCCCGCCGGCTGAGCGGCCCCAGCTCGCGCACCTCCGTGTTCAGCTTCATCTTGCGCTCGCCCAGGTCGCCCTGGGTGAAGCTCTCGTCGGCGGCGATGGTGTCGATCTTGCGGGGCCGGCCGCTGCCCGGCCGGGGGCGCCCCCGGCCCGGGTCAGCCTCGGTCTCCAGGTAGTAGACGTTGAAGGTCTCCTTGCAGGTGCCCGCGGCGCCGGGGATGCTGCTGCAGTCGCGCAGGGTGAACTGCAGCTCCACGAAGATGCGCTGCCCGCGGCCGCGGCTGATCCAGCCCGTCTGCAGCCAGTTGTCCTGGTTGGGCTCCAGCACGTTGCACACCTGGTACGTGCGGATGGGACGGTCATGCTCGTCCACGCCGCTGATCTCCTCCCACTGAGGAGGAAGAGGAGGAAGAGGAGAGGAGGAAGAGGAAAAGGAGGAAGATGAGAAGGAGGAGAGGAGGAGGAGGAGGAGGAGGAGGAGGAGGAGGAGGAGGAGGAGGAGGAGGAGGAAGAGGAGGAGGAAAAATGTGGGTTGCTCAGAGCCAGGGCGCCCCTCATAGGTAGAGTCCCAGCGGTGACCGGTGACGGAGGCTGAAAGCACCCGCCCCACCATTTCGCATTCTCCTCTCCCACCTATCCACCCACCTACCCACGCTGGCCCCCACCACTCCCTGTACACGGCCCTGAGGTTATAAGATGCAAAGCAAGGTGAAACATTGGAGACAACTGAGTTCAATTTTAAGTTTTATAGACGGGGCAACTGAAGCTCCCGGATAACGGGGACTGTGAGTACACACGTGGGGTTCGGAGCAGAGGCAGAAATGGTGCTGGAGCCTGTGGCTCTCCACTGGCCTTTCCCATGACGCCAACCTGCTGTCACGTGCCACATCCCCCCACACTGACCCTCTTTCCGCGCCTTTTTTAGAATTCCAAGTCTTGTTTATTCTATCAATCCTTCCATCAACAGCATTGCTTGTAGGATCTGCCATGCGGAAGCAATGTCTAGCATTGGCTCCACCCAGAGGCCACATTTCTGTTCCTAGACACAGACAGTTCTTGCCTCACGTATGGTTTTTGTTGTTTGTTTTGTTTTTTTACTGTCTGACTGAAGACTCAACGTTTTCTAATAGGCGATTCTGGCTTGAAGCCAGGGCTGCTGCAGACCACATGTTCCAAGGATCATTTTGATGTGATGTAAGCATGGGGAGCTAATGGGACTGAGTCTTGGACCACCAAGGATCCCCGTGACAGCGTGGGAAAGGTTTACACTCACCCCATTGCTCGGCAGTGCAGTCCAGCCCAGTTCCACCTGGGAGGCTTTAGAATCCAGAAGGACGACTAGGGAGAGGGGAGAACAGAGATGTCAGAAGGTCAGGAGGGTGGGCCTTTGGTGGGGTCACTGTAAATCTGCTAACGGAAGGGATGGCGAATGTGACCAAGAACACAGACAGGTTTTTTCCACTTCATACATCCCCAGAAGGCTCAAGTCCAGAAAGGGGTATCCATGTGATTAGGGAAGGAGCCTGTATTCGTTTCCTGTGGCTGCTGTAACAAGCCACCACAATTTGGCAGCTTACAAAGCAGAAATTTATTCTCTCACAGTCCTGGAGGTCAGAAGTTGAAAAATCAGTTTCATGGATCTAAAGTCAGAGTGTCAAGAGGATGGATTCCTTCTGGAGGTTCAGAGGGGAGAACCCATTTCCTTGACTTCTTCAGCTTCCAGTGGCCACCTTGATTCCTTGGCTTGTGGCCTCCTCCTCCATTTTCAAAGTGCCTCACTCCAATCTCTGCTTCTGTCATCATATTGCCTTCTCCTCTGGCTCTGACTCCCCCTGCATCCCATTTATAAGGATCATTGCAATTATAATGGGCCCATCCAAATAATCCAGGATAACCTCTCCATCCCAAGTTCCTTAATCACATCTGATAAGCTTTTTGTTATTTAGGATAGCATTCAAAGGTGTGGGGATCGGGATGTAGACATGTTGGGAGGATCCATTATTCAGCCTGCCACAGAGCCTGTGACAAATACTCTAAGGTTGCCTATAAAATGGGGGACGGGTGTTGTCAGTGACACACACACACACACACACACACACACCCAGCCTTCCCAGGTTTTCTGAATTTTAACTAAGCATCAAGAAGCGGGAGAGAGTGAGTATATCAGAAGACACCTGTGTACAGCCCAGGTTTTATATAGACTCAGGGGCTCGTCTGAGGTGTGGCATCATCAGGGAAGAAACTTGAGCCTTTTTACTTTGACTTTTAGGGTCTCTGGAAATAACAAATAAAAATTTCTCATTTCCCAGCCACCCCCTTTCCCAGGGCTGTCACCTCCACTGCCTTTGAAAGAATGGCCGTGGTCCTTTTATATATAAAACCATGACCCCCTCCTGCACCAGAGAGGCTTGGAGTCATTTCCCCCGCCCCCAGGAGGCACTGGCTCAGAAGTCTGAATTCTGCTCTCAGTATGGGTCCCCGAAAAGCACAGGTTTGGACAGCACAGCAGCAGCTCAGAGACAGGAGCCCAGGCCACAGACAAATCTTGTAAGATTACTCATCTGGAGCTTACACAAGGAATGGGGCTCCACAGTGAGGGCCTCTCCAAGGTTTGGCCGCAAAGGCATCAGCAACAGTGGGCCGCAATCCTAACAGCGGATCTCCATATAACTGACAGCACATAGGGAATTTCACATGGGAAAGCCTCAGAAAATCCAGCGCCCCAACCCACCTCGCCGTGAAAGCCTCACATCACAACTCCTCAGCATTATGCACCTGGATATGACGCCCCTGGCTTCAACTAAGCATACAGCTCCCCGCAATTCAGAATCAGAGGCAAGACTCGGGCTCTGGCACCGCGGGCTGCCTCAAACCCGCAGCAAGGACCCCTCCGCATAGTCTACGCTCCAGATTCAGCACTGCGGACAGCTCCATGATCTATCTCCCTCACACACACCACCAGCAGCAGCAGCAGCAGCAGCAGCAGCAGCAGCAGCCGCAGCAGCGTTCCACCTCCAGCTGGCTGCACGGTGGTCCCTTAGCCCCCGCTGTTAGGGCAGCATCTCGTCCCCCCCCCCCATACTCCTATCTCACCTCGGCACCCCCTTCTCTTCTGCTCTCTTCTTCTCCCCGCCCCCACACCTCCCACCTCCCATTGCTCAGCCGGTCTGTCTCACGGTCCCTGGACCACCGCCTCTGGCTCCCACAGTTGCTGGTAAATCTTTCTTTCCCAGCCTCCCAGGTCCCTCCCCAGCCCCGGAGCTCCTCGATGCCCCTCTCTTTTCTATGGCTCAGCCACCTTTCCCTCTACCTCTCCAGGTCTTTGCTTCCCGCGCCCGCTTGCTTCAAATCCCATTCCAGACTCCAGTCTCTCCATAGGACTCCTTCGCCAGCACTCCCGCTTTTCAGCCCCCCTAGCTTTTGGCACCCCAGGCTCCGAGAACAGCCAGCCGCCGGTCTCCTCACCTTCCTCGGCGGTCCCGGGCCTCCCGGGTCCCAAAAGCAACGCGAGAGAGAGTGGCACCAGGCAAATGAACTGGCGCAGCGGATGCGGGCCGGCGCCGGGCTCCATGGTCCGCAGACCGAGCCGTCAGTGCGGCGCGGCTCCAGCCCCGCCAGCCCCAGCGCCGCGGAGCAGCGCCCCCAGACCCCGGCGCCAGCGGGGGGCGGGACCTCGCCGGTGACCGTTATCCACGGGAACCAATCACTAGGCACCTCAGCTGGAGCTCCACCAATCACCGTCAGCAGAGGGTTGAGGGGCGGAGTTTCATAGGCCAGGGGGGCGGAACGGCGAACTAGATAAGGGAAAGGAAGGGGTCCCTCCAGCCTTCAAACTGTGGGGGTGGGGCAGTGCTGAGCGCCGGCTGGGCTCCTGGGGAGGAGGATGAACTGGCGTCCGTAGTCCGGAGGGCTAAACCTTAGCCCCTCATTACCGAGAAGTCAATCTTGTGGGCGTGGCTTAAAAAGGGGCGAAACTCGGGGAGACAGCGGCCCTTGCAGCCTCTGAGCTAGCCTGGAAGGCCCTTTGCTCCCAGGACCTGAAGGGGTTTGGGGAGCTCCTCTTTCTCCCAGGCCTCGGCTTCTTCCAGGGTCTGCGGTTCCCGGGGTTGTCTCCTGACTGGATCCGGCTCCCTTAGCTCCCCGCCCTCATCATACACACACACACACACACACACACACACACACACACACACACAACATACACACCAAACGGGCCGGAGGAAGGGGCCAACCCCGCCCCTCGGGAGCTGCTGGAGAAGAGAGCAAAGTGGGAAAGACTCCCACCCTGCCAGCCACGCTTCTGAAGCTGGGACAGACACCATGTGGATGCCGGGATAGGGCGGTAATGGGTTTTGCATCCACGATCAATTTCACGGGCTCTTGCTCTTGCTGCCAGGACACAGGCAGCTCTCTCCACGGCCAGCCGTGTCTCCAGTCGGCTCCTCGGAGCCCGGAGTCACCCCTCTGCGGATCCCTCTCCGCCCACCCCGGGGGACTGGCGAAGCGCGCTGCGGCCGCGACTGCTAGGCTTCTGGCCGAGAGGCGGAGCCGTCCTCGGCGAGTTCCACCGGCACCGGAGGAGCCGCCGGGAAACACGACCTCTATCTCGTGAAGGTCATTTATGTGCCAGCGGAGGGCTTAAGGCGTTGGTGTGGGGAGGGCCGGCCCTCGTCTAGGACCAGGGAGGCGGCTATTGAGCGCCACCATCTGGGCTGAACTTGAACGGAGAAAGCTCCGCCCACCCTGTGGCTTTTCAGATCCCTTTTTTTTTGGGGGGGGGGGGGGACCCTAACCTCACACTACCTTTGGTAGCTGAAGAAGTCTTGAGAACGAATGCGAGTCTTGTGCCTACGTGACCTGTTGGCTGGAGTGTCTCCGCATGTTGTGTGTGTGCATTCCTCACCCTCCCACCAACGCTGACTGGGTCCCACGCTCTGTGCTAAGGATACTCGGGCCCATCGCCCTGTTTCTGCCACCATCCATACTTCCTCAAGCATACGTGTAATTACATGTTTGGGCATTGTAGACCACTAGACATGTACAAGCTGCTTTCACGTGTCATTTGTGTGTGTGTGTGTGTGTGTGTGTGTGTGTGTGGTATGTTTACAGGCACACTTGCTTGCTCACAAACATACTCGCTGGGCAGTAGCCATGGAAGGGGCTGGGAGGATAGGGCTTCTTTGCCTGCAGACAAGAAGGACATCAGGAAGGGCTAGGGCTGGGACGCGCTGCTGGGACCCGCTGGAAACAGCAGAAGGCGGTGTGTGGTCTGGCGGGTCCTAGGATGCTGACAGGGCCTCTGAAATCAGATCCACCTGACTACCACCCCCACCTGCTTCCCATCTTCATTCTCCTCACGTTCGCTTCCCCCTCCCTTTGCCCCCCAGCGCTAGGAGATGGTATTTTTAGAAGCTGCTTAGAGACCCAGGACTCCTTTCATTTCAAAATGAGCCTTCACTCCATCACTGCTCACCCTCTCTTCAAAACCAGGTCCCGTCCCCTCTGCAGTCGCTGAGCGCCAACTATGGCATCTTCCCCGAGTCCGGGGACCTCAGCCAGAGGTTCTGACCCTATGTGCTACAACAAGATGCAGACAGCCAAGCCTATGGGGGCAATTTTCCAGGGAAAGCCACATAGTCTGCCCCGCAAACCCCTGGCTTTCAAGAATCTGGTTCCCACCCTCTCCCACCACACACCAGTAGGCACCCCAATGGCACTGCCAGGTCTAGACCCTAGGCATGGGGAAAAGAAGGGGAGAAAATGTAGTGAAACAAACCTGGTCTTTCTTCCTCTGAACAGTTCATTTATAATAAAAACAAAACGGAGAAGCCCCGATGCATGAGGATTTATGCAAATCAGCCCAATCTTAAGAGTTGCTCCAAGGCCGACTCCACTCTACCAGGAGGCTGCAGAATGGACACCTCATGGAGACATTCGGAAGGGCCTTAGCAGGAAACTGAGCCATGGTGTACTGTCGCCTGTAAGTGCTGGGGCCAGTCAGCCAAGAGCAGTTAGATCCCTCCTGGAAACAGCAGGCATGGGGAGTGGGTTAGGGGTGAGGTATTTTTTGGGTGAGGTGAGTTTTCCTTTTTTGTTAATCCTCACCAGAGGATTCCCCCCCCCCCCCATTGACTTTTAGAGAGAGTGGAAGGGAGGGAAAGAAGCAGAGAGAAACATCAATGTGTCCCCAGTGTAGTGTTCTCATAAGGGTAACCGTGGCAAGTGAGCGGGGTACACAGATGGTACAACAGTGCACACACACTTGCACACACCAGGCACTCAGGCTCCAAAGCAAAGTGAGCAACCAGAGTGCCAAGCTCAGGTGGACAGAACCCTAACTCTCCCCAGGTGAGATGGCTTCAGGTGTGTGGGTCCGTGTCCAGGAGATGCCCCATGTGGGTGTGAGCTCTGGGGGGATGGATGGGGTGGGAGGAGGAAGAAAGACTCTGGAGGACCACACATCCTGCGGCAGGGGAGAGCTCAGACCTGAGTGAGGCAGGAAGGAGTCCCAGGCTTCCCGTCAGGATGAATGCTTTTCTAGGACAAGAGACTTGCTGGCAAAAATAAGATGGAGGCATAAACAAACGCTCACACTGTATTTTCCTAAGAAAAAAGAAACACAAAACATTTTTTTGACTTTGAAAATCAAAGAAAACCTATAGATGATCCAACACAGCACAGCCTCATGAGCCTCTACTTCCTCCTCTGTAAAGCAGGAATAAAAATGCTTTTCAGCGTCATCGTGAGGTAGGAATGTAGTTTATATACGGCCCAGCACAGTGCTTGGCACATAGTTCCGGTGTATTTTATTATTCAACTCCATGGCTAATTAAGGTGAACAACAGCAAGAAAAAAATGGGAAAGGATAAAGGAAGGTTCGCTGGTGAAGTAGAAAAAGAGAGACTTAGAGAAACAGTCATAGAGGGAAAGACAGAACGAGGGGTCCAGAAAGAGACACGCTTCCAGATGACTCTGGCTAGAAAGCTAGGAACCTGAAGGAAATGCGTTTGAAGAGACAGGGATATTATCAGGGCAGGCTGGCTGGCCCGCTACCAAGTGGCCTCAGAGGTGACATTTACCTTGGTGGATTCAGCATGGTCCAAGCTCATAAACTTGGCTTAATAGTACCGAGAGAGAGTCTACATGCTGGGGAGTAGATCATACTAACTCAGCTGCTATCCTGCTATAAGAACCAATGTGTTAATATGCGATGAGAAATGGAACTGCCAAGGGGGCCAGAATGCTCGCATGGCCAAGTCCAGCAAATTCTTTCCCTGCAGGAAAATGTGCCCAGGAAGCCGATCTGTGATGTGCAGGCTGCACTGAGAGAGTGAGGAGAGGGAGTTGGGGTTGGATGGTTTAATATTTGATGGCCTCAGGCTCTGAGAGCCCTGTGCCTCCAAATCCTCAGTAGGAATAACTTGCTCGGGTACCTGAGTGATTGTAGTTGGGGGCAGGGATGGGAATGGGATCCATCAACAGATGCTTCTCTGACTTTCTCTTTTTTTAAATCTTAGTTCTATTTCTTTTTTTCTTTCTTTTTTAAAAATATTTTTATTGCTTTCAAAGAGAAAGGGAGAGGGAGGGAAAGACAGAAACAACAATGATGAGAATCACTGATTGGCTGTCTCCTTCACGCCCCCTACTAGGATGGAGCTCATAACCCAGGCATGCGCCGTGACCTGTAATTGAACAGTGACCTCCTAGTTCACAGGCTGATGCTCCACCACTGAGCAACACTGGCCAGGCTTAGCTCTATCTCTCTGATCAGCCAACTTTAAGATTAAAGCAGTCCTCTTAAATTTGAATTGCCAAAGTAATAGAAACTAATAAAAATTTCCCAAGTAAAAAGTGAACATATCCATTCACTTTGCACAGACCCATTTCAAAACTTAAATATTGTTAATAGATTAACCTATACCCTTTATGACATGCACTTACACACACCTTTTTAGACAGTAAGTATATCTGTTGGCAAGGTAAACAATGTTGATTATCTATCCCAATACCTCTTCCCTCTCATATTTTTTGTTCCTGAGAAATCCCCAATTTTGTTGGGATGTTTATCTACTGCGATCCTTTGCTCAGAGAAGATGATGCTATCTCCAAGTTCAGGGATGAATAAATATTGTCATTGGCTAATCACTTCTCAGCCCATTCCATGTCTGAGTTTAGCTTAGGCATGGATGTGTGATGCAACCGTAGCTTTCTGAATGGGGCATTCTAGGAAAAATTTTCCTCCTAATGTCATGTCTGCATTTGACACCTGGAGCTGCTGCATCTTGACATGGGAGTGGGGAGGACTTCAGAGAGGCACGGACACCAGGGGGCAGGAGTCATGGGGACCACTCTAGGATCTATCTGCCACAGACAGATTTAAACCTCAAGCAAAGGAGAGAGGAGTTGATCGGGTGCATGGACACATCTCCCAAGAATGAACTGAACAAACTGGCAGGAGATGGAGCTGAGTCTGGAGATTGTCAGATAGTGAGGCAGCTGCTCTAACCTCCCCCCCCCCTTTTTTTTTTTTACATGTTCAGTAACAATGTAATTTTATTTTATTTATTTAATCATCACCCAAGGTTATGTTTATTTTTGGGAGGGGAGAGAGAGAGAGAGGGAGGGGGAGAGAGAGAGAGAGAGAGAGAGAGAGAGAGAGAGAGAGAGAGAGAGAGAGAGACTGATGTGAGAAACATCATCAGTTGCCCTGACTGGGGATTGAAGAGGCAACCAT